GCTATTTTTTGGTTGCAGCCGTCATTGTTGTTTGGCGGGTCCGGGCTGGGGATTCGAACCCGCCACCTTAGGTGTATGTGGCTGGCGCCTTAGCTGCTTGAGCCAAGAATGAAAATTTCAAAGAAAGTAATGAGGTACACAGATGATGCTATATCTCTTTGAGATATTTTACTTCCTCAAACCATTTGTCTTTTTCATTCCATCTTCTCTACTTGTGATCCTTATGGGAACACACATCAGACAGGGATGAACACAAAGAGAATCATTTGGTATGTGCTTGGAGAAACGCCATGAGCTGACCATATGGAAGCCTCTGCCTCTGCCCTGGGATCACTGTGGATGTTTACAGAATGAGCTACCTGAATGATCAAGTGGCCACACCACGTTACTCTGAGTTTGCCTGAATAGTCAAACTGATGCTGAGTTTGTCTCTAGGCACCAGTTATTTGACACACTTTTTCAATCTCTGAGAGTCTCTAGACCCAGATATTCCCCATGAAATCTGAAGCAGTAGTCCCCAACTTTTTTGGCCCCAGGGACTCAGGTCATGAAAGACAACTTTTCTGTAAACTGGAGGGATGGAAGGGATGGTTTCAGGATGGTTTAAGTACATTGTATTTCCACCTTAGATCACCAGGCATTAGATTCTCACAGGGAGCATGTAACCTGGATCCTCACACAGCAGTTGACAGGAGGGTGCAGGCTCCTATGAGAATCCAATGCCATCACTCATCTGACAGGAGGTAGAGCTCAGGCAGTGACGTGTGCAATGGGGAGCGGCTGTAAACACAGACGAAGCTGCCCTCACCCACTGCTCACCTCCTGCTGTGTGGCCTGCTTCCCAACAGACTGCACACCAGGCTTGCCTACAGCCCAGGGGGTGGGGATTGCAGATCTAAAGGACAACTGAATGTTTCTATAATGTTTTTTGTAGCAATAGAAAAAAAAATCACTTTAAGTTTTCAGAAGAACTACACTGTTGATTAGAAAGGTATATTCTGATTATGATGATTACAGAGTGGTACTGCTCTTAATTGCATTCCCCTGGTTGCATATCCAGGGGCTGTGTTACTACCTTTAAGTCATTCAGTGATAAAGACCAGCAGGTGTCATACACCTAGAGAATAATCCAGAAACTGGTACGAATGGCTCATTGCTTCTAAATGATAACCATAGACAGTCTATACTTGTGGAGAATACGAACATAATTTTATGTCTTAGATTTTGTCTCCTACATGTTCTCTATTACATTCTTCACAAACATACACTTTGCTCTTAACTGAAGAGCACATAAGTGTTACACCAAAATAGAACTTCACAACCACAACCTCCAATTCAAGGATATTTTTATGACTGTAGAGAGGATCTCAAACAGCACTTCATAAATACTATAGGTGTTCAATAGTACTGACTCTAGGACCACACTGACCCCAAAATGATACCTGTTATTATGATATTCATACAACAGTTTGTTTATAAACATAGTAAGAGAAACTAAACTTACTTATTACTTGATTTGCTCAGCACAACAGCCCTCAAATGAAAATTTCAGAAAATTTTATAAACAAAAATAGCCTTCAGGGTAAGTGTAGAAGGGGCAAAAGATGGCCCCCGGAATTCTGAGAATGTTCACAGGTGTGCTCCATCTGCAAAGATCATTCATCTATAAATCTAGGAGACACCCACACTCCTCCAGAAAGTTAAAAAAAATCATTCTGATCAAATCCTTCATATAAATTCCAATATATAGTCTAAGAGCTGGGGAAAACTTACTAACAGGGTCCTGACAATACAATTAACAACAGGGGAAAAGACACAGCTAATAAAATGGCACTGCCAAAAACTATCTACGGAGTCTTACTTGGTTATCAGAAATTTGTTTGGTGAGCGGGTCCCTTCGGGCTTGCTGCAGAATGTAGAGCCGGGCCTCATACTTTCTCATGAGCTCCTCGGTCTCTTCCCTGTGGTCGTCCCACTGGAGACTGTCGACAATCATGTCCTCCAGCTGCTGCTGCCTGAGCTCCACCCCGTGCTGGGTGCTGTCCCATTGGTTCTTGACCTTCTCCACTGGGGGAAACACGACAGAAAATAAATCCCAATAAGCAACTCTCGGGAAAACACCTGACACGAAATCTATCATGCATCTATAAACAGCAAAGAGGAAGGAAGCAAGTGGACAAAACATTTTATAGCGATTGTAATAAACATCTGCCCCACTACACAACTGAGACATCATGAAACTGTTCTTGAGAAAAGAGTCTTGAGCTAAACTGTATTTTAAATGCCCTAAAACATCTTGCAATAAAAACATCCACTATTATAAACTGATAAAGCAACAAAAACTATAAAGAAAATAATTTTCTATTAATTTGGTACATAGAGAACCTGGTTTGAGGAAGATAGATCGTAGCATGCTGGGACAGAATGGAAAGTGGGAGACAGGGCCGTTCGTTACCCTCAAAGGAGATTCTTGAAGGTGGTCCTGATTTTAAAAGAAAATGAACTTCACATTTGTTTTACTGCAGCATAGAACTTCTCTAAAAGCAAGTGCTTTTTACATGTTCAAGTTCAAGAAAAACACTCAAAGTAAAGTAGATTCAAGTTATGGGTAGCAGCTCATAACAGCAGCTCTTCATCATAACAATTCCTCACTGGCTCTTTTCTTTCCTCTGTTTAATTGTCGTTTCTTTCTCCTTCTCTTTCTCTCATTCTTAATTTCTGTCTCTGTCTCTGTATTTCCTCTCCTCTCTTACCCTTTATTTTTAACATATAAAAACAACAGCAAACAAAAATCCCTGTTTAGAGTTTGCATTCTTGCTCAAAAATACCTGTTAAATCTGCGTGGCATACAAAACAAAGTCCAAATGTTAAGGATTTCGATCTAAGGAAACTTCAACTTTTGACGAAAGACTTGAGGGACGGTTCGTGATTTTGAACCGAAGTACTAGTAAACAATAACTGTGAATACTGTACTAACCCACTAATTATAAATAGTCACCATCAAAGGTCACACACAATCAAAGTGCTGGATGATGCTTTGGATGCCAGGCAGACTGCAAGGCTGAAAGGCTCAAGAAGAAATTTACAAGCTAACACTCCAGCTGAGTCATAATTGAACATTTTGATAAAATTCTTGGGATAATAGAGGGTTACAGCAAACCATAAAAGCTATCAAGCTAAGATTGTTCAGAAGGCTGTAAGTTACACTTAAGTGCCATAATTCTAAAAAATTTGTTCAATGAGATGATCTGTTAAATGTTGCCTTCTTTAACAGTTTAAATAAATTGCTTGAGTTTTTAACGTAAAGAAAGGACAAATCTATCACCATGTTCTACTTGTCAGTTAAAAAGTTACATAAAATACTTATGACCCATTCTATCACTAATAGGATCCTTTAACATTGAACAAATAAATCTAAAGACATCAAGGGAAGTTTTTATGATTAAAAAAAAAAAGCAAGATAGCCTATTCATTGCAAGTGCTAAAAAAAAAAAAACCATGTTACTATTGGCAGTATGCTCCAGCTGAGAAGAGGTTTTCACGTGATCAGGAGTAATGAAGACTGGGCAGCTACTACACACAAAGAAAAAAAAAAAAACAAGGAGAAAACAAAGAGAGGACATTAAATGAGAAAGAAAAGATATTCAGAGGAAGGAAAGTCTTGTAATTTAACAAAAAAAATTAAAAATAAAAATCTTAGAAGTCTTAGACTCAGAGAGAGGAGAGAGATGAAGAAAAAACATCAGGGCTCAGCGCCTGTGGCTCAAGCAGCTAAGGCGCCAGCCACATACACCTAAGGTGGTGGTTCGAATCCAGCTCGGGGCCGCCAAACAACAATGACGGCTACAACCAAAAAATAGCCAGGCATTGTGGTGGGTGCCTATGGTCCCAGCTACTTGGGAAGCGGAGGCAAGAGATTCGCTTGAGCCCAGGAGTTGGAGGTTGCTGTGAGCTGTGATGCCACGGCTCTCTACCCAGGGGGACAGCTTGAGGCTCTGTCTCAAAAAAAAAAGAAAGAAAAAAAAATCAGATGGTAGAAAAAGCAAACAGGAGCTGGCCCTATCAATCATTTGGTATCATTAAAGGGGAGGTGCTCCCCTGCAAGTGAGGGGGGAGAGCCATAATAGATGCAATTAATCGATCAATTAATCAAAAGAAGGAAAATGGTCTATGCAGTAAAAAATAAAACAACGCTCTCAGACACGAAAACTCTTGCAATCTTGTTGCTGTCACATTTATTTTTAAATTGAAACCCACGCTCTACAATGGGAATGGCTGACTTTCTTCCTTTGAGAAATATTAGACTTTACCATTTCCCATTTATATTTTGCCACCAAATACTTATTAAGTAGCTGATTTGCACTGTGAAGGGTCCAAGGGCCAGAAAGGTATATATTCACAATCTATAGAGGAGAGAGAGAATGAAAGTAGCTAAGACATCTAAAATGAAGTTCTAGGGGAAAGGCCACCACGGAAACTAAACATAGAAAATACGGTTCCCCAGGCAGGAGAAGAGGGTGGGGAAGACTTCACAGGGGGTGACATTTTATCTGCTAAGCAGAATTTTCACACGGGGAGAAAAGGCCAAGGGGAAAATGAAATAACAGGAATAAAGGTAAGGAGACTGGGGATGTCAGGATGTTTCAGAGAATGTGCCTATATATAGTCCAGGATAGTTACAGATGAGGCTGGGTGGGGGCTAAAGTGAGAGATGGGACAATGATAGCAGAGTGGGGCAGTAGCTAGGTGTCACTCTTGAGCATATGGACTTTGTTTTGTATGCCACACAGATCTAACAGGTATTTTTGAGCAAGAATGCAAACTCTAAACAGGGATTTTTGTTTGCTATTGTTTTGTATGGTTTTTTTTTGTTTGTTTGTTTTATTTTATTTTGTTTTTGATTAAAGTATTTCCAAATTTGTGCTAGTCACATAGGCACATGGTACCTGCACAAAATAAATTGTGGGGCGGCCCCTGTGGCTTAGTGGGTACGGTGCAGGCCCCATATACCGAGGGTGATGGGTTCAAACCCAGCCCCAGCCAAACTGCAACCGAAAACAGCCGGGCGTTGTGGCGAGCGCCGGTAGTCCCAGCTACTGGGGAGGCTGAGGCAAGAGAATCACCTAAGCCCAGGAGTTGGGGGTTGCTGTGAGCTGTGTGATGCCATGGCACCCTACTGAGGGCCCTGAAGTGAGACTCTGTCTCTAAAAAAAAAAAAAAAGACTTTACAAAATAAATTGTGAGGTGCCTGTAAAAACATGGAAGACCTGGGTGTCATGAATGAACTGTACAGCAGAATGCACTTGCATTCTTATGGGTTGCTCTGATTTATTTTTTTGATTCTTTTAAAAGAATTCCCAACTTAAAAGAAGAAAATTAAATGTTAAATAATTACTAAAATTAACAGTCATTACTTAAAAGGAATTCGTAAGGGAATAGTGACAATATCCACAAAAAAAGGGAAAGCTTGATATCTTCATAAATAAAGAGTATCAAATACTAAATAATATTATTTCCTAGTTTAAAATGGGGAGCACCATTTACAAGAAAAGAGAATGATACATTATTTCTTTTTAAAAACTTACATTTTTCTGTGATTGCTGTTCTCACATCTGAACTGGATGCTTTATTTTTCAAATTCTGTGCCATCGTGAAAACATAATCTAGCTGAGGATGGCGCTGTTCTAAATCAGCCTTTGTAATCTGATAATTAGAAGTGATTATTAAGACAAGTTAATAAGCTATACAATAAGAAAACGAAGCAAAACATGACATCGAAATTGTTGTTACTATTGCTGCTTCCTCCTGTGTGGGGTTGGGAGTCATGAGCAATACGGTGGAAAGAGTGCCCGATTTGGAATCAGATGTCCTGGGTTCAAACCTCAGTCCTTCCACTTAACACCTGGGTTACCAGGCAAGGTATTTTAGTTTTAGCAAAAAGAAATAATAAAATACTGACACTCCATTATATCATGTCTGAGTAAGAAATGCCCATAGAAGACTAAAAACTGCTGTGGAAACCATGTCTGTGGCTGTAGCCTGGCATATGCATTCAGCATCAGATAGAACACAGACTAACGTCATCGACAGGGATGAGGGGGATGCATGAGAAAGGGGTTTTGGGGAATAACTGCAACTTAAATCATCTTAGACATGAAAAACTGCTGCTCTGGGTAGTTTGCGTCTCTCAGCACTGATCCATATGGGAGAAACAGTAACCGTATCAGGAGAACAGCATGTTTTAAATATAGAACTGATAATCATCAAGAATAGAAAACACAATTTACAATAAGTACAAACAGTGGCCGTGGGTTCCCTCCCAGCCCTTCCTTTTGATGAATTCACAAACTGTGTAGATTTGTTACTCCCACCGTGTCAAACGGTATTTCTAGATGAATTGCTCACAACTTCCCATGCTGAATCCCAGAGCACATTTCAATGAAGGCTGATCGCCTCCTTCTAAAGGGCATGAGGACTCCTCCACACAATGCATCCAAAACTAGATCACTCAACCCTCCATTTACACCCCATTTCTTCTGCTCCTTATTTTCACCAATTGCAAAAGCATCATCTTAGCCCCTCAGAAAGGGCCCTTTTCTCTGATGGAAGCATCTCTTGCCTCCAGTCCATCCTAGTCGTCTACTTACTAAAGCAGAGCATTGTTATCATGAGCTCCCAGCCACAATTTTAAAAAGAAAAAGAAATGGAAAGAAATGTGTTTGCCAACTGCTTACAGACTGAAAGTCCAGTGGGCTTTGCGTGCCTACAGGCGCCCCCACAAGGGAGCGTGGGCTGCCTTTCCATCTCGCTTCCCGTTCTCTTTCTTTATTGTACACACATTGGCTCTGGCGTCCTCATGCCGGCCTTCATTTCTTCATTCACCCCGTTCTCTATACCAGAAACGTTATCACCGTCTGCACTCCTCACTGGAGAAGCAATACCGTGCTCATCCCCGCTCCCCCACCCAGTCTGCTTGTACCTGCCCTGTGGTGTTCAGGAGACTCTGCCTTGCCATGGCACCCTGCCTAGTTATATGCACTCAGGGCCTCTGCCCCAGTGTGGGCTCATTGGTCATGTGGGGAAAAAGCAGTACCTTCCTCACAAGGTGGTTAAAGAAGTATATGAGATAATGCATGTCAAATACTTCCAAAAATGTGCAGCATACAATAACCACTTAGTAAAAGGTAACAATGGCTGTTGTGATTATTACACTGTACATGCCCAATGTCTACCTGGTATATTCTTTTTAGTATACAGTCCAGAGCGTAGCATCACTACATAGGAAAAAAGAACTTTAGAAATTCTTATTAGCTGGTGTATGTGTAGTAATCTGCATATATATTACATTCAGTAATACGTCAATCAGGGGGTTCTCACTTCTAAAGCCAGAAGGTAAACAATCTCTCGTTCTGAAATAAAAGTTGTAAAGGTGCTTTCGGAAAACATCCTTTATCACATGATAGACGTTAAATGTAGCACTAACTTACATTTATATTAATGTGGCTAGCTGTGTGACATCAGTTTGAGATCTTAAAAATGCACTGAGTCTTTAGCTAATGTCAGTAAACCCAATCTGCTAAGAGTATAAATGGGAGGAAAGCTTTCCTCTTTGGAGTTAGCCTGGGATGGCTGACAGACAAAGAATCTCTCCAACCTCGTTCTCTCCCAGGTTGGGGTAAACACCGAGGACTGAGACCGGTCTGGCCCACCTCCGGCTGCAGCGTCTCCACGCCAGCCTTTCACTGTGTACCTACTTTCATTCGGGAAACGGTCTTATTGATCTCTTCCGCATCCCCGACAGTGACAATGTTGGACTTCAGCATTTGGTCGATCAATACCAGCCAGTCGGCTAGTTCTGTTATAGTTTTATCAAGATCAGCAGGAATTAAAATGTCTGCAGTCCGATGAGACAGAACAGGAGTCTCCGACGCAGAGGAAACTAGCACCACCTTTTGGACGGCAGGATGAGCTGAAATCACAAAGTGTGGGAAAGCAGAAATAAACAACAGGACATTCTGATTGTGGTGGTGGAATGGGGACAGGTGGTGTCTGTACTGCAGTGAGATTCCGTTTAAGCCAAAAAAACAAAAACAAAAACAAAAAAACAACACTCTAAACATTTCATTTGTTCATACTGAAAGGGCAATGGAATGGCCTATACCGTCTCCACATCTTTGGTGGCTATAAAAACAACTAAATGGAGTTTCACAACATCCCAGGGCAGCAATAGATTAAATATAATCAGCACCAGTGCCCAGAAAAACAAAAGTAAAAAACACAGCAACCATGAGAAAATTAGGAGAATCATTTTGTCAAGATGCTTTTACCTTGATTATAAAGCCAACTTATTCTTAAAGTTTATTCTTTTTCATTTAACTTTACAAGCATGTTTCAATTTTAACATACCTCACTGTGAACACTTATGTAATAACTTATACATATAGTCAGTAACTTTTATATAACCCTTTACCATCAGCAAGATATCTAAATTGCTCCTAAAATTTTATTTTTAAAAAGAACTTGTAAGAAATTTCTTTTCATGCAGAGTATTTTGCACATCTCTTATCAAGATTCCCCAGAGCACAATTATTGAGTCAGAAAATATACATTTAATACTCATTGTCAAGTTGCTTTCCTTATAAAGCTGGAAATTGAGATTTCCAACAGGAGCATATTATCAAAATATTATTTTTGGTAGAGGGATATGCCCTCCCAGATATCTAGTTACATTATTTAGCTAATAATAATTAACTCAGGGCATTACAGACTGAGACATTCACAGAGACTGAAAGTGTCACGGAGTGCAGGTGGCAGAGAAACCTGACCTTGGCAGAGACTGAATTACAGATCAATGAGGAAGCATTTACTGTTCAATAAATGATGCTGGCAAACAGGTGACCCATGGCTGGAACAGGGAAATAATGGGACAGATTTTAACCTCACATGTACCATAGGTAAATTAATTCTTGGTGGTTTATAAGGAACGAAATAGGAAAACCAAAACTGTTACTAGAAATACAGAATATCTTTATGACACCAAAGCACTGAATGAACTCTAAACAAAACACAAAAAAGAAGATATTAATAAATCATTCGTGCTTAAGAACCCTGAAGAGAACCCCATGAGATTTTAAAAGCCTTTGCACCATTAAGAGGCAGTACTTGCAAGGCACAGTCCAGACAAAGAATTCGCAACAAAAATACTTTTTTTAAAGCTCAAAAAAAGTCCGCAGACAATCCACAGAAGAAATAAGGTAATAAAAATAAAAATAGGGAAAAAAAAGGTTCAACCTCATCAATAATTGAGAAAATACAAATCAAAATAAAATACTCTATATCCCCAGGCCATGAGGCAGCACAGTGACAGAGACCCTTCCACGGGTCTAGAGGCCTAAACTGTTATCATAAGAAGTTATTTGTCTTTTCAGGTTCATTCTCCCCCATGTGTGAGAGACAGGTGATGGTTTATCCAAGGCTACATAATAAAAGATACATCGTATCACAGGAAACCAACTGACCAGGCAGGTATGAGAATCCAGGCCTGTTCTGGAAACTCAGACACTTAAGAGATCTTGAAAAACGTAAAGCAATGACACTTTTCTAAGTTTTTGTTTGTTTTGGAAAATAAAGATTTCGTTCATATGTTTAAAAATAAATTGTTTTGGTTAACATGATGGATTTATTATTGTTATGTTTAAACAAATTGTTGTGAAATTTCTTTCCAGTTCAGTAAGTATAAATAGATATAATTCACATAAACAAAAGTTCTTTGGGGTCCTCAGTTTTGTTTTGGTTTTTTGTAGAGACAGAGTCTCATTTTATTGTCCTCGGTAGAGTATCGTGGTGTCACAGCAACCTCCAACTCCTGGGCTTAGGTGATTCCCTTGCCTCAGCCTCCTGAGTAGGTGGGAACACAGGCGCCTGCCACAACGCCTGGCTATTTTTTTATGTTGCAGTTTGGCTGGAGCCAGGTTTAAACCCACCACCCTCAGTATATGGGGCTGGTGCCCTACCCACTGAGCCATAGGCGCCACCCATGGGGTCCTCAGTTTTTTTAAAGTGTAAAGGGGGCCTGAGAAGAAAATGTAGGGTGCTAGCAACAATGTAGAGAACAAGGAGAACCCCCACACAGAGCCGGCGGGAGTGCGCACGCAGCATTCTGGCAGGGGGTAGTGACGCAGAATCCCCTCATATCCCACCACCCAGTGCCCCACCCCTAGATATCACCCTATGAAGACCTCACACATCATGCTACCCCATCTTCACTTAGCTTCCTTTGTAGTTTAAAAAATTCCATTGTTTTGGTTCTTTAAATACCCTTTAACAACCTGCTAGGTGCTATGCACTCTTCTAGACCCTGGGGTGTGGGAGAGGATGAGAGCAAGTGCCTGCTCCCCTGGAGCCTGCATTCTGGTGGGGAGATAGGTATATGTTATGAAGTAAAACCAATGCAAGAAGAAAGGGACAAGATATATGCTGAATACGTGTATCTTGGGGACATCTGAAACACAGGAAGACCAGTGTATTTGAAGTAGAATAAACCAAGGGACAAGTGGTAAGAAATGTGATTGGACAGACAGGAAGAAGGCAGATCACACATGGTCTTCCAGATCGTGGGAGTCTTTGCATTAGATATTCTAATAATCTAGACGAAAGATGAGACCTGAGAAGTGGGTGGGATGGGGCATGGGACCAACACAAATTGCTGATGGACTGGCTCTGAAATCCCGAGAAGAACAGAGGGTGACTCCAAGTTTATTGGCCTGAAGACTAGTTAAATCATCTAGTTAAAAACTTTTCTATGGTTAGAGGACTAGTAAGCGCAGTTAGAGAGGAGAATGCTGAGGATTGTAGCGTTTATCCATGTGATAGAATACTATTCATCGGTGTTTAAATGAACAAACTAGAAATACATGCAGCAAAATGTACAGCAATGGGAATAACCCAGTAGAGAAGCAGAGAAAGAGAATAAGTAAAAAGTCAAGAGAAGATAGGATCCAAAGCACAAGTGGAGAGGTTGATCTTATTTTTGTTTTTGTTTTTGAGACAGAGTCTCACTCTATCACCCTGAGTAGAGTGCCATGGCATCACAGCTCACTGCAACCTCAAATTCCTGGCCTCAAGTGATCTTCCTGCCTCAGCCTTCTGAGTAGCTGGGACCACAGGGGCTCCCCATCATGCCCAGTTAGTTTACTTTTTTTTTCTGTTTCTGGTAGAGACAAAATCTCACTTTTGCTCACGCTGGTCTCAAACTCCTGAGCTCAGATCCACGGGCCTTGACCTCCTACAGTGCTAAGATTACAGACATGAGCCAGCACGCCTAGCCAAGAAGTTGGAGATCTTAGAAAGGAAAAGAGATCGTTCTTCTTGTGTACAGAAAGGAAGTATGCAGAGTATCTGGTCTGCAAACACGGGGAGCTTGATGGATTCTCTGGTGGGAAAATGAAGATCTTGTCTGACAAAAGTTTTTCTATTTTTTAAAAGTGAGATGAGGTTATTAGTTGAGAAACAGGTGGCAAGAAGTATTCAGAAGAAAGTCCTGCAAGATCATCTCTTAGAACGGAGTGCCTAGTCATAATTCTGCAATGAGTTTAATCAGCAAGAAGCTGGCACAGATGAACCTCAGAAACGTTATGCTAAATGGAGAACGCATTGTAGGATTCCATTTATATGAAATATCCAGAATAGATAAATCCATAGAGACAAAATGCAGATTGGTGGTTGCCAGGGGCTGGGAGGAGGAGGGAATGGGGAGCAACTGCTTAATGAGTAAGAGGTTTTACTTTAGAGAGATGGAAATATTTTGGAACTAGATAGAAGTAATGGTTGCAAAACATTGTGAATGTATTAAATTCGATTAAATTGTTCACTTTAAAATGGATTTTATTTTTTAAATATAATTTTAGGAAGAAGGAGGAACTGAATTAAACCACTGTGTAGGAAGAGAAGGACACGGCAAGATCAGCTTCAGGTCTCAGCCCTGCCCCACGATGAGTATCTTTCCAAGCGTGTACTGTCCATCTATTGGAAGGTATTTTTCTGCTGTCAGCTTTTCATACTTCTAAACAGGTATTCAAATTTTCCTTGCTCCTTTGCCACAATGATGTTTAAAAGTAAGATAACCCATAACGATACAATAAAGTGCAGCAGATCCTGTCCCATGATTATGGGGCTGAGCAAGCTACTCACATATCAATTCACCTGTTTTGGACATTAGTCAAGGCTCCCAGTTGGGCCCTAAGTATTCTTGTACAAGTTACACAAAGTTGGCCCTCCATAAGCTTGCAAATCTCAGAAAATGAAAAAAAAAACTTGTCTCTCATCACTTTTTCCAACTCCTAAAGAAAAGGAGGAGGAGGAGGAGGAGAAGAGGAGGAAGAGAAATCAAAGGACCAAAGAGGAGAAGCAGGCAGAGGAAGAGGAGGGAGGAGCAGGAAGAAGAACCTGCGGGCGAGGAAGTGGGTGGTCAAGGTTAACCACAGAGCAGGGCAAGACGGTTCAGAGGCCGGCAAGGCAGGAGTGACATAGTCACCTATGACTAACCTGGACAAAGAGAGAAGGAAACAAACGTGAGAAAGCACGATTCTTCCTCCGCACTCAAGTGGGCAGCATCTGTTAGTAAAAAGCTTCCCGGGGATGCTGAGCTCTTCTGACTCCCCATCCCCCATCTGCGTCCAAGGGCATCTAAATCTTGTGTGTCCAGTCGTGGTCAGGGCTAATTCGACATGGCAACCAAGGGTCAGTGCAATGGGTCAGAGCTGATTTCCTGAGAAGCTGCAGGACCTAGAAATCAGTCCACATTGTCCTGCCTTGTCCCTCCCCTTCCCTGCAGCAGGGCCTGAAGCTGCCCTGGCACTGCTCTCCTCCAGGGGCAAGGCCAGTCTTATCTCATGTGAGAACAAAGGCCTGTGCACAGTCCATAGCCAAATACATCTTGGGTTTAGACAAAGCATTATTTTCAAGTAATTAATTAAAAGTAGAACAATAAATAAAGCTGTATGATTTTTTAAGTTTTTATAATGCATATATAATGCTCACATCATAAATTAGGGGGGAAAAAACTAACTGCATTAAGGAATAGACTGTTTCTTACCAGCAATCCTTGTCTGCGGAACAGGATGGGACTCCTGGATACGTTCCTTTGGTATGCTAGGCACTTCCCTGCAAATCTATTGCATTGGGCCAAAGAGAAAGGGAAGAATATTATATGAAGATGATCATATTTTTGAAAGAGCAGGTGTTATTCTGAATGGTAACATGCTAGCTGTTACTGGCCTTCATACCTGAGACTCTGTCTCCACTTTCACTATCCACTACCATCTTGCTGGAGCTCCCTGCTCCACTCACGTTACTAACAAGAACATCAGCCAGAACTTAGCTACCATTAAATGCTATCCATTCTCCCTCCTTTGAATTATATTAATACTCTGCAATCCTGATCTTCCTCTTACCTCTCTGGCTTTCTTGAGGTTCCTTCACTGGCTTATTTTTCTCTGCCTGTGCCCCAACATCATACACAGTAGGTGTTGTGGATTTCTTACCCTTCACCCTGGACTTGAGTCCGCCCATGAGTCCTGGTTTGGGTTCATGTACCAAATGGAGTTTTGAGAAGCTGAAGACCCCCCAAAATATATCTTCAGTCCAATTCTTTCTACCAACTGGATATTCAGACATGTCCAAATCTAAACTCATCATCTGTCTTCCCTGACATTCACCTTGCAAACCTTTCTAAAGATTCAAATTAGGGTGGCTCCTGTGGCTCAAAGGAGTAAGGCGCCGGCCTCATAAGTGGTAGGTTCAAACCCAGCCCTGGCCAAAAAAACTGCAAAAAAAAAAAATAATAATAAAGAAAACCTAAACCTTTTAAAAAAAATTCAAATTAATCTTTCTATAGCCATTCTTGGGATCACTCCATCCACCTCTATAGCACAGCTATAGTAATCTTTCAGAAACACAAGTTTCCTCTGCTCAAAGCCCATCAATAGCTGTCTACTACCTTCAAAGGGGTGAATTATTCTCAAGACGGAGCTCAAATTCCTTGCGATGCAAGGTGAGGCCTGGAGACTCTTGTCTCTCAGAACATCTCTCAACCTTACTCAACTATGCTGAGTTACTTCCCGGAACCAGTGCACTGGGGTCATACCCTGTCTCCTCCAGACCCTTCTGCTTGCTGCAGCTATGGCCTATAAAGTCCTTTTCCCTATTCTTCACCTGACCAATACTTTTTTTTTTCCAAAGTCTCAAGAAACAGACAACTCATATTTATAAATAAAAACAGAAGATAATTTCAAAAAGAAAAAAAAAATCCTTTACAAATTATCCTGGATGTGATCTCTTCCGTGAAACTTTCCATGGCTACCCTCAAGGGCAGACAAATGTGCCATCTTTATGCCCCATGGCAACCTGCATGGTTTAATTGCTTCTCTACTTGTAAGACTCATAATAAGATCTTTGGCTTAGAACCAGTATCATTCTCTGCTGTATTTCCTGTTCTTAAAATGATACCTGGCATAAAGTGGGATTCCAATAAAAATGAATGCTTGCACAAATGAAATATACAGATTAGTACTTCCCAAAGTGCATTTGTTGAGATTCTCTGCACAAATAAGCATTGCTTGGTCTTAACATTTGTAATCCACCACAGTGAATTCTACTAAAATGTAAGTGAAATCTGCAATGATAGACGCTTTAGTGTTGTCTAAATAAATATGTGTGTTTTGAGTGAATATGGATAAATTGAGGCCAGCAAGTGACATGGGGCTCATATGTCCACAAAGGAGTGTAAGGGAGAGACAGCAAGACGATAAAGTCAGAGAGATAGCAGGAGGCCACACCCCGAGGGCCATTACAAGTCACAGTAAGCACTGTGGCATTGACTCTGAGCAAGACAGAAAACCACTAGTGGTGTTCTCAATTCTGTTTTAATAAACTGCTTTGTCTACAAGAGACTGACAAAGGGCAAGGGAGGAAGTAGGGAAACCAGCAAGGAGGCCCCTGCAGTAAGCAAGGCAAGAGACAACAGTGGCTTACATAAGCTAGTAGCAGTGGGTTATGAGAAAGTCAAATTTATAATAGTTTTTTGGCCTAGGGGAAGTTGGAAAGAATTGTGTAGGAAACAGCCTTATGCCACCTGACATCTACAATTGTTAAACTTCTGCTACATTTGCCTTATTGTATGTAGCTATCTGGCCATCCTTTAACACACCCATGAAGCAGATGTGTACTTTGAAGGAGAAGTTGGTGATGGTGACTCCAGAGTATACTTTTTGGAGTAGGGTATTTTCTAGGTTTTTTTTTTTTTTTTTGAGATATAATTTATTTACTGTAAGACTCACTCCAAGGTTTCTGACCTAAGCAATAACAATGATGTTGAGCAGGCAGTTGTATATGGAAGTCTAGGGGACGGTGAGAGGTCCAGGCCAGAGCTACAGACAGGTAAGTGACAGTGAATTGTCCAGGCAGCAAAGATGGGATCAAAGATAGGATCACCACATCTTTGGTGATAGAGTAATGGCTGCCATTTTAAGAGGATTAACCAGAGAGAAAATGACTGATATGGAGCCCATCCTAACCAAGGGTAGAGTCATATCCATTCAGTGTTCTACACAGACCCCACACTCTGGTGTGGTAGGTACCAGCCCAACCAAAAAGAAATGGAGTAACTGCTTCAACTGCAAAAAAGTAATGGTATGGGGGGAAGGTATCTTAGTCATATCGGTAGTCACAGGCCATTATATGCTAATGGAAACTACTATTGAAAAATACATATTGAATGAATAAAATCACTAAAAATAAACACACGTGTGATTGGGAAGCTACTTCAAGGTCTTCATTTTCAGAGTATAAGCATTCAGCATTTTATTGCCTAAATCTAGCATGTATCATTATTTAGTGTAGTATATAATGTATAAATACCTTGATCAAAAAAAAAAAAAAACACTATGTAAAATAAAAAATATTCAAGAATATATGCTTCTAAGACAAATGGAAAACATAACTATAAATATCAGTCAGCATGAGTGAAACGTGCCCATATTTGGATATACTTAAAGGCATAATCATTACAAGGCCTCACTTCTTTGACAAGCAAACCAATACATATAAGAATTGTGTCACAGTAACTCTGAACACACACCTTACTCCAGGCGGTATTTACAGCTCTTAAGCTTTCTGAAATTTTATCTCTTTCGTGTAGACTCAGACTTTTGTCTGCAAGCATATCCAGCTCAGCTCTGTTCAGCCATTTGAGTTTTTCACCTTGGGCTTCCATCTCTTGGGTTAAGTCCTGAAGGAGTCAGAAGGCAGGTGTCATGAGGAAGTTGTCAAATCGGAGAAAGTTCAAGAATTACATTAGAAATCTCTTTGGAAAATCTTCTTATAAATATGGATTTTTAATTTCTTAAATGAAAAATTGAATGTGTGTTGACAAATGGTGACTGACAGAGGATTGAGCACACATCTTCAGCACTGGTGTGTACACATGCACAAACGCACTCTCTGGCACCCTGTCTTTTGATAGAAATACGTTATATTACACTGTATTACTATATTATATTTACATTGCTAATTAATCTGATTTTATCTCCACCTTGCTACCCTATCCTAAAATCCTGTCGTACCGTTTGTAATTTTCAAGATGTTTACAAAAGGGACATTCCAAGAAAACTATGAACTTTAAAAGGAAAACTTAATGTTTGCCACATAAGATCTTTTATCATTATTAAAAGTTTTGTTCCCCCAAAATGTCTTAACCATACTCCATTATAGACAAAAACCTCTTAACTAATTAGTAAATATCCTCTCATGCACATTTTTATGTATGCATGTATATCCTTTATCTTTAATAAAAATGAGAGCACATTATGCTTACTCTTCTGCAACAAGTATTTCAATTTTAACACTACAAATAAAAGAGCTTATGTGCATAAAACTCTGTAAAGATTTGGATATAAGTAGAATCTCCATAGTTGACCAGCTCCCTACATTGATAAGCTCGAGTTGACCTAATTTCATAAACAAGATGTGCACCACATTTACTTATCAGTACAGAAGGCCTAGTTCCTTATGTTGACCATCTCCGTATGTTGACCAGTTTGATACAATCTCGTAGGGGGTCAACGTTCAGAGGTTCTCCTGTATTTCATATCCCTACACCTTTATGCATTTTTATAGACTGTACATATATACACCTATGAACAACTGCTCTTTCAAAAAATTGTAGTTGCTCTTTCAGAAAAAAAAAAATTATTTTTTCTCTTACAAGTCCACCACATGTACCGGAAAGGACAAAGCTTCTTTCCCTCTTCTTCAGTCATGGAATTATCTTATTCTTAAGTGTAATGTTCAAGCATCAAAAGGTGCTGGAAAATACAGAGGCAAATAAACCACTTACTGTTAATTCTTGAACGTTTTCTTCCAGCTCAGCCACTGAGTTCTTCTCCAAAGTATTCTCAGCCTTTGTTAACCAGCAGATGACCTCATCTAGCCTGTTTCTGTATTCCATCACCTGCTTACTCTCGCCCTTCAACCTGAAAGAAAATATTATTGAAAAAAATATTTTCAAAAATATTAAGAAAAATTGTCTAATTAATCACATTATATATTCGCTTTGGATAGCCCAACTAAATATTTCTCAAAATAAAGAATTCCTAATGCTTTTGAGTATTTTTAAATGAATCTTAGTAGTACACTATAGATTCTGCAGTACTAAAAACTGTTTAATAATAATGGAAGAAGAATTTTTCCATAATTGAAAAACAGTGGACCAAAAGAATATTATCATCTCTCGTCATGAAAAATTATATAGCCATTTAATACAAAAGGCTTTTTAAAGTTAGATACCACTGTGAACCATAAGGTATATTTTTTAAAACATGTAAGAACGTCTTTATCTAAAGTAATAAGGAAAAAAACATAATTCTCTTTGAGTACTCCATGGAGATAAAAAGTCATCATTATATGACATTTTATTCACATTAGGTGGCAACTATTACTCTGCATTATTCATAGGACAGAAAGAATCAGAACCAGGCAAGGCACTTGCCTTGGAAAATTTTATAGGTATTAGAAAAGACAAGAAAAAATGCAAATTTGGTTAGTTCATTATAATAAGTATTATATTTGAATATAGCACAAGTTGTAAAAAGAGATGGAGAAAAACACAAAGCAATAGTTTTAAATGATGCAAATAAAACCGCTAAATGAATATAAAAAGGAACTGCCTTAATTAGATCTTTCAAAAGTAAGAATAGCATTTATAAGAATATAAACCATCTGTCAAAAGAGAGGAATATGATTAGAACTCCTATGACAATTAGATTATATGTATTTTTCAAGGGGTTTGAACGCTATTAAAAGCTTAGTGGTATCATTATTTTTATAGTTTCTCTAATTAACTACTAGCTTGAAAATAGAGTACAATTTTTAAATAAATTATACTGTGTTATCCCTAATAAGAATTTATGTTTTTATAGCTAGCTATAACTTTTACTGTTAATCACAAAAGGTCTAAAATGATGGTATAATATATGTAATAAAATATTAAACAATACTTATATTAGTGTAATATATGTAATAAAATATCAAATAATACTTAAATATATAATAAAAGTCTATAATACTTGTGAGTATTATTGTGTTTAAAAATGAATGAAAATCACTACAAAAATCATAATTTTTAAGTATCCACAGGAAACAATACTACTTCAAGATTTAAAAATAAATAAATCACACAATAGTACTAATTGTTAAGACTATCAATAATAGAACAGGTAATCTACCCTCTGTATTGGAAAGTATTTAACTTAAATAATATCTTTGGGAACACCCAAAATACTTCTATAGGCCTTTTGTTTCCCTCCCCAAACAAGTTGAAATTTAAATTTCTAAAGTTTCATACTCATGACTGATTTAGTACTTTGAAAATAGAACTATGAAGGAAAGTAACATTACCAAGTGATTTCAATAAGACATATTTGAGTCGTCCAACATTCTCATCTGCAAACTAGCTAAATAAAATCTGCATTTAAAATATTATCTTGCAGAGTAAAAACAAATTATAAATTCACATTCAAACAGGAGATAACAATTGCTCATTAAGGAATAACACCATAAGGTGCTGAACAAGGGCACAAATATTTAACTCCAGGCACTCAATACAAAAACAAATTGAAGTACATGGTCATTCCCAATGTCTGCTAACGGTGCACACAGAAGCTCTTCCACGGTGGTCCCAATTTGATACAGATTCCAAACCTTAAGTGAAGTTTAACATGAATTTATGAAAACAAATAATTGCTGTAGTCAAAATATAAGATGTTAGGCAAAAGATTTATTATTCTTTTCCCTTCCAAAAAATGAGTTAAATATTTAATATGTATTACCTTCACCTTGTTAGTTATAGAAGCTATAATTGGTATACCCACAGGGATCCATTTGAAAATCTGTAGGAAACTTTCTGCATTTAAGGTTAATACCCTGCCAGGAGGTACATGTTTTTCCTTAAAAAGGCTTGACAGATACATCATTTTAAGTAGAAGTCTCCAAGCAAACTGATTCGCATGACACATAAAATCCTATGGGACCTCAGAGTCCAATCCTACTCCTGGCACCCTAAATCCTCCTCTCCATCTGATTTTTTGGAGCTCTCTCTCCCATGGCCATGGTATTCATGCCTCCCTTGGCTGATCCTACAACTTTTCCCTAGAAGTCCGTCCCTAGAAGATATTATGGGAAGTTGCTATAAATCCTTCAAAAAACAGCTTCAGTATCCCTCTTCTCTAATACCTAAATTGCACAGCCCATCCCACCTGCCTCTGTGACAATATCTCCTTAACAATGTTCTCTTCAGTCATTCTCTTCTTAGTCTCCAAGTTCCTTAGTTACACGCCCCCAGTGCTAAACATAAGACTCAATAAATATTGATGAAATCAATGACTCAATCATTGGCACAATGTAGCAATAACATGCTTTTGGGATAAGTTCTGGGTTAACTTACTCTCAGGAAACATAGATAATCTAGAGTTTATTATGAACAGTCAGGGCACATTTTGCAAACACTCTCATTAAACATAGACATTCTAAGAGTTTATTATGAACAGTCAGGGCTTTTTTTTTTTTTTTTTTTTGTAGAGACAGAGTCTCACTTTATCATCCTCGGTAGAGTGCTGGTGAAGTCACACAACTCACAGCAATCTCCAACTCCTGGGCTTAGGCGATTCTCTTGCCTCAGCCTCCCAAGTAGCTAGGACTACAGGCAACAGTCAGAACATTTTACAAACACTGTCATTTAATCTTCATGACAATCCTTTGAGTTGATGGGTGATACAGCTCTCATTTAAAGACGAGAAAACGTTGGCCTGGGAGCTCTGTTATTCTCCCCAGGTTTGTACAGCATGGTATTGGAAAGCACAGGATAGTACCATAAGCACCATCACTTATTTTCTATGAGATCTTGGACGAGTTACTTAACCTCTCCTCTTTGCCCCTCAGTTTTTAAAGTCTAACAGTCCTCTAAGAGCAACAGTCCCAACCTTTTTGGCACCAGGGACTGATCTCATGGAAGACCATTTTCCCACAGACCAGGGGATGAGGGTGGCAGGGAGGGATGGGACAGGAGGCAGAGCTCAGGCAGTGATGCTGTGCCAGCTCTTAACAGGCCACAGACCAGCATCAGTCCAGGGCCCAGGGGTCAGGGCACAGCCTGAGAGGGTAGAAGTGAAGATTAAATACAGATATATGTGTAAAGTATCAAATACTCTCTGCCACATGGTAATCTCTCAACCAAAATATACAAATTATTTGTTGTTTCTTACCAAAACACATGAAACAATAATAAATTTTTAAAGAAAAAGCCACCACGGGCCATATCATACCTGAATACTTTAGGTCATATTATAATACTGGATTTGATAAAGGACCCAACAGTCTTTAACAAAATAATAGTTTATCACTGAAACATTACCTACAGTGTTCAAATTAGCCATAAAAAACTGGACTTTTTATTTTTTTTTTTTTGAGACACAGCCTCAAGCTATAGCCCTGAGTAGAGTGCTGTGGCGTCACAGCTCACAGCTACCTCAAACTCCTGGGCTTAAGAAATTCTCTTGCCTCAGCCTCCCGAGTAGCTGGGACTATAGGTGCCCGCCACGACGCCCAGCTATTTTGGGGGGTTAGGGGGGTTGGGAGGTTATAGTAGTTGTTGTTTGGCAGGCCTGGGCCGGATTCGAACCTGCCAGCTCTGGTGTATGTGGCTATCCACCCCAAACTTGGACTTTTTAACCCAAAACTACTAATACTCAACAAATAAGCAAAAAGATCATTTATGAGATAGAATAAGTTAAGCAACAGGAAAATTGATCATTAAATCTTGACTGTCTCAGAAAATAACATCAAACAATTTTATATCTCTAAAATATGTATAATGTTGAGTATTATATTCACTGGTAATCTGACATATTTGCACCAGAAGATGCTTTAATAAAATCTAGGCCTTATGATGTGACATAAATTAACAATAATATATTTATTACATTATGTAGATGAAGAATATTTTTATTTGCACAGCACTCACATATATGGCTATAAGACACTAAGAATAACATAGTGAGAGAAATTACTAATACAGGTTCAATTAGGAAATAAGCCAGGAGAAGGCCTCCCTTGAACTCAGATCTTCAAACCAGAAGTTTGGTGTGTGTTTTTCACTACTTTTATTTCCCACCATAATCATCATATCCTAATAAACAGTCCAAAATAAAAGATTTAAAGATTTTTATGCATACAGGTAGATGAGTAGAAAAGTGTGAGTTTCTGGAGAGCCTAAAAGTACAGTCAGGGTAACCATGGGCAGGGCAGGTTTTCAATATGAGTAAAAATCCCTATTGTGGTATCAGATAATAGAAGAATTTTAAACTCATCAAAGTGTATTTACAAAAATTCTACCTATGAAATACGCTTACTCCTGTGCCACAATCACAACAAAGTTACCTTGGTCGCCTATCTATCACTTCTGCAGTGATGGCGCTCCAGCGTTGGTTTAACCCCGCCAGCTTGTCTTTCAGGAAGCCACCGTCTGTTGGAGAGAGTTTCTGGACAATCCTATCCCCAGTTCGATTTAGTGCTGCAAAACTGGGCTGGTGGCTACTGATGCCCTCTTCGAGTTCCTACAATCAAGCCCAACCCAAGATTAATTCCACTACAACTGTTAACAATGCAATGACTTCACCTAAGTAGCGTGACATCAATTTAAGCAATAGAGACACAAATTCCTTCAAAGATGTTTTATGTTCATGAAAAAGGTATTTTAAAATAATTTAATTACACTTCAATGAACACACTAAACAAAATCTATTTGGATAATCTAACCCATCTCATGAACGTTATCAGGCAAAATACAGTGAAATGGAAGAGCTGAATAACATAAAATAAATAACAGCTGTTTACACTAAAGCATAAGCCTCAATCATATTTGATTAAAGCAAATTGCTCATCTTCTTCCAAATAAGTGCTTAAAAGAATTTCTTTAAAAAATATATATAAATATACCTCATATATATTTTATGTCCTATCATATATACGTTAACTTCAAAGTACATTTGACTGAGACATTGCTTCACTGCTCTACAAGTTTTTAAGTATTAGATTAAAGGTATATTTTGAAGTAAAATTGAAGCATTTAGCTATAATTCTAAAAATAACAAAAATGCATTGGCATGCATGCCTATAAGAAAAATAGAAGCATTATTTTTAACTTCTCATGAAACTTCTACATAAAACACACTTTAAAAATTTAATAAAAATTATTCTTAACAATGACAAAACTGAAATTTTGGGAGCTTTTTACTATTATTTTTAAAGACCTATCATTATCAGCAGAATTGAGTTGGCAATGGTGTTATATTTTCCCAAGCCTGAATTAGACTTACATGAGCAGCTGTCCTGCTATAGCTCAAGAATAATCTGCTTTTATGATAATTATCAACAATACCGAGAAAAACAAGATGCCTAAGTGTTAAAGCACAGAAAGCAAAGGTGAGGTGCGCACCTATTTTTCTGTACTTGCTATGGTCTAGGGTACAAAATATTACAAATGTTACTCTGAATACAAAAATTTAAGGACAAAACTGTTTTACAAGTTTGCCACAAAAGAGTATTTTCGATTTCAATTTCTTTAAAACCCTGGTTGAAAATTCTACATGACCAATTTCTCTTAAACCTTTGAAACAGGAAATAGAACTGGAACAAAAATCACGGATTGTTTATAGACTCCTAGAACATTAATATATTTGGTTCCCTCTTCTGAGCCTTGTCTTAACAGCCAGATGCTAACCATGCATGCAACCTTTCTAGAAGATGCCCTCCTCAGACAGGAGGGGGCACTCACCTGCTGGTGGAGCCTGGCTTTCTCCAAGTCCAGACGGCCACCTGGAGCACAGGTATCCGCCAGGACCTCTTCAGCTTCTGTTATCCACTGTATGAGGTCATTAAGGTCACAATGGAACTGTCTCCATTCTTCCACGGCCCTATCAAAATAACTAGAGGACAACACAAAGAAAGTAGGTTTTCCAACTTTCCAGAACTGCCTAGAAGCAATTTTTCTAAAAAAGAAATTCAAATCTCATTTAAACTGAAAGCCCTCACAGGAGTGAACTCAGTCCATTACTCCACAAGACCAGTTTTCACAGTGGGTTACAGCTAATGATTCCCTCCCACCTCTCTCTCTCTCTCTCTCTCTCTCTCTCTCACACACACACATGCACGCACTAAGGCAGCTTTTTAACTGAAAAGATTTAGCCTCCTGTGGCTTGGAAAAAAATCAAGGTTGATTAGCTGTAGGAACATTAACCTACCCAAATTTATACTCTGAACATTTAAATGCCATGAATTGTAAAATATGATTAATTTTTCTCTCAGAAAAAAGAAAAGGTTGTTGTACTACCAGGACAAAGTTCCCAGATTAAAGCCCAAAAGACCAAAACACTTCACAGTTTTCTGACACTCCCTTATCTGTATGTTATGGACAGAACTATGTTCCACCAAAGTTCATATGTTGCACCCTAAGCCCCAAAGTGACTGTAATTGCCGGCAGAGTTTTGAAGAAGGTAAGTAAGGTAAATGGGGTCACAGGGTGCAGCCCTCATCTGCAAGGACTGATGTCTTTATAGGAAGAAGAAGAAGGACCAGAGAGATGTCTCAGGTGAAGGAGGACACACCAGGAAGGTAAGAGAGGCCTCACCACAAACAAACCTTTCTGCCACCTTGATCTTGGACATCCAGTCTCCAGGACTGTGAGAAAGTAAAATGTCTGTAGTTTGAGCTGCCCAGCCTGTGGTACCTTGTTATGGCAGCCCATAAGTACTTTGGGTAGGGAGGGACTAATCCTGAGTATCCCATGTACCTGAATATAGCACAGTACAGAATTGCATGCAAAACCCAGGTTAGGGGCTGGGCGCAGTGGCTCACACCTATAACTAACACTCTGGGATGCTGAGGCAAGAGGATTCCCTGAGCTCAGGAGTTCGATGCCAGCCTGAGCAACAGTAAGACCCTGTCTCTACTTAGGAAAATTAGCCAGGCGTGGTAGTGCACACCTGTAGTCCCAGCTTCTGGGAGGCTGAGGCAAGAGGATGGATCACTTGGGCCCCGAAGTCTGAGGTTACTGTGAGCCAGGCTGAAGTGGGCAACTTCATGGCAGTCTAGCTTGGGCAACAAAGTGAGACTCTGTCTCAAAATAAATAAAAAGAAAAAAAAAAAAAAGAAAACCAAAAAATCCAGGTTAGGAATGAGAAAAAAAGGCTATGGAAAGCTCTGTGTACCTTTAGAAATGAAAGAGAATAAAACTTCAGGGTTTGTCATATTCAAATACACAAAATAAATATAAGAAGGAAAAGTTTTATAGGATTAAGATCATAAATAATTTTTCTATCTTTTTGTTTAGTGTAGCAGAGCTGGAAGAGGTCTACAAGAGATGCCTGAAATCTTAATCATATTAATAACATTTTTATTTGATATAATAAAAGTATACTATTATTACTTTAAAAATAATAAAATGGTCCCTGACTTCAGTAACCCCAAAATAATGCTTACTTTGTTCTCTTCCATGAAAATTATTTTTAAAATTCAGTTAATATCTGTTGCTACAGGGAAGCAACTTCCTCTTAGGACAAAAATAAAAGCGCTTCAAACAAACGCTCTGAGAAGATATTAAAATATTCATTTGTTCATAAAAATGTATAACAACCATCAAAATTTCCAGATTTTTGAGATACTGCAATCTGAATAGAAAATATAACTGGACAAGCTGTTTCAAAGATTTAAAGGCTTTGAATGTAAACATTAAACTTGGAAAAAGATCAATATCATTTTCACAGAACATTAAGTTTCGAATCAATCTAAGCAGCATAGCTCTGGATTGAACTGCAGAGTGCTGTGCAGAAGCTGCTGGGTGGAGTCCGCAAAGCCATCGCCTCTGCTCCAGTCCAGCGGCTCGTACAGGTGGCAGCAAAGACTCCGAAGGGCTGCCACTTCCCGGAGTCAAGTAACTCAAATCCCAAACCTCCCTGACCACGGAGAGAAGTCCGTTTATCTTTCCCATCCTTTGTTTGGATTTGAAATAGAAAAAAAGTTGGCTATTTCTAATATTCCAGCTGGCCTTACTATATTCCTCACAAACTCATGTCACCACCTGTGTTCCCTGTTGCTGAGAATGGTACCATCGCCCACCTAAGTCCCCAGGCCAAAGACTTAAGGGTCAGCTTCTGCTTCGTTACTCTACCACCCATGAGTCACATGTTGCATCTATTCTACCATTTAATTCTCAAATATCCCCCCAGTCTCCACCGCCACAGCTGCTTCCCAAATCAAGCTGTTGCCATGTCACAAGACCAACTGGTCTCTCCAGGTTCGGTCTTGCCCTCCACCAATCCATTCTGCAGCCAGTAAATGTCATTTCCTTGTTAAAACACTGCCATGGACCCCTAAGATTCTCACAGCAATATACAAACTGCTGAAAATGACTCACAAGTCCTTCTGACGTGGCCACTTCAGACCTTCCTGGTTTCATAGAGCTCTACTAGACTATTTTCATATCATCAAAGGCATCACCAGCTCTCTTATCTATGACCTTATGTAATGTTGTGTTGTATTTCTTCACCTGGCTAAATTCACAATCTCCAAAAGGCCTTCCCTGATCCCTCTGGGTCCCTAACATGGCCTTCTGCATGGCCCCCTTTGTAGTACTATGCACTAATAATTGCCTATCTATTTCTACTATATACATTGGGCCCTGAGCAAGAGACTGGACGTACCAAGTGCATCTCCCTTAGAATCCTTTATAACTAATTGTGTGTGGCTACATGTACCTTGCATTAACACTCGATACTTATCAAACAGATAGTGCATGAATAAATGGATAGATAGGTAGTGAACAGGCATATTCCATAGGATGAAATGAACTCCAAAAACTTTGTAAATAATATAAAAAGAATGACTGAGAGAATTATGAAAGAACACTACTACTGCTGTAATATTAAAAAATAAAAAATAGGATGTCTAGTTTTTATGTGCATGTCTCCACCGTATTATTCCATGCTAGCTTTCTTCTCATACAATACTTTATATTTGGCTATTTCATATCTTATCTGCCTCTTTACTATATTCACAGCTACTGGAAAAAATCTTATCAGTTTTTATTTCTGTCTATTAATAGACCTGGTCAAAATCTAGTGAGAAGGCCAAAAATCATTCCTTTAAACAGAAGCTTATAAAGGGTCTGGCATTATATATGGATTCTAATTATCTGCAGTTGTTGCTGTTCCTCACTCACATTTATCATCAAGTGTAAATGAAAATCCTTCTTACATTTTTTAAAAGAAAATGGACACTAGACACTAAAAATTAAAAATGCTTACATACTATCCAGATGTTAAGCCATAAATGGTCATCTATACCTGACCCAATTCCTCTTCTCTAAGGAACTACACTCATCACAATTTATGACGCATGGGTATCCCACAAGAATGTGAAACATATCTCACTATTCTCAGTGTGCAGATGACCATCTCCATGGCCCACTAACTTACAGCCACTATCTAAAAATGAACTGTATTTGCACCTACCATCTCCATGGCCCACTAACTTACAGCCACTGTCTAAATATGAACTGTATTTGCACCTACCCTTTCCGATCATTGTATTTTCTATTAAGTCTGTCCCACTTTGCATTCAATTGAGTAAGAGTATCCTTGATCTGAATGGCTTCAGGTCCAGAGGCGTCAAGAATAACATCTGGCTGTTTTTCATGAATGACTGCAATCTGCTCTCCAAGTCTGTCCAGTTGGTCTTTGATATTCTAAAAATACATCATCGGACATTAACGAAATCCAGTGAAGCAACAACAAAGAAATCACAGATGATTAAAAATTTATATTGTATAATTCTCATTTAAAATAACGATGAGACATAATAACTGCTGCTCATGAAAACTGGTCAAGATAGTAAGGTAAAAAGAACTGGAAACTTAAAAAAATAATAATAATACCCTGTATTGGCCAAACTAGAAGGAATTCTACATAATATACTAATGGCATGGGAATAAAAATCCTCAGAGGTGTCCAAAGGTAGCATTTGTACAAGACATGTGAGATGCTTCATTGAGATTCTCTAAAGGAAATCAAGTGTGTGAAGCTGGAATTATTTATACTTTCAAGTATCTAATAATGCTAGTTTAAATAACAAAAATAAACCATCAAAACTATAAATCTACCAGTGGTTTTTTTGTGACATTCCATATAAATGCAATCAAATTATACAGAAATACTTTATGAGAATTTAATAGATTGTTAATTTATAATCAGGATGACATTCCACACTTCAACAACGGACCCATCTTAAATTATCACAGGTGGCCTGATAAAATTTGACATTTTAAGTCAATGGACAATCAAGTTTATAAGACAGAATATGGTCTGTATGTATTTTTAAAAAGGCTTTGATATTGCAAATAACAACTGTACCCACTTAGAAATCCATACCTGTCTTAAAAAATTAAAACTATTTGATCATATTTTGTTGGAGAACACAGAAAAAGTTTATTATTCACAAACATTATTATTTCCTGGCACAGATTCTAAAAGATATCATAGATCGTGGAAGTCAGCACAATAACTAATTCTTTTTTCCACATTAACTACAGCCATTCAAAGGCAGTGGCTGGAGCTTTACCCTCAGAGAGTCTTCCTGAGCAGAGAAGTCTTCATAGATAGCTGTGTTTAGCTCCGGAATATTAAGTGATAATTCGACATCATCCATGGATAGTAAAATTCTGTTAATTTCAACCAGGTAATCTGCAGGGAGAGGTGACGATCGGACTCCGGAAGCAAGCTGACCTGTTTTCCTCTGTTGAATAGGGACTGCCTATAAAAATATTTTTAAAAAAATAATGCATATATCATAAAATAGCTCCACAATAAGTAAGTAATAACTTCTTGCAAGAAAGTATAAGACTTTTGTGTGAAGGAATTCAATACCACGAATCAAACAGTTTTAATTTTCTTTAATTTTAAAACTGCCTTACTACAGAAACCATTAACCATCTCTATTCTAATTTTCATCTGCAGTCTGCTATTACACAGCACAAATATGTTAATATTTGCCAGGCTTTTCTTTAAGACCAATGTCATCTAAACTCATTTAGCAAACAGGAGACAGCAACTCCTTTCTGAGCCCCAGAGGGAGTGAGACTCTGCCGCCCATCATAAAGCACTGTGTGAAATCAAACACTTGCATAGCGTTACAATTTCACTCTTTATCAAACATCACAATGAAAGTAAATACTCTGGACCTCACTACTGAATGTATAAATAATATTTAAATATAAGTAAATTAAACGTGTTTCTACAACACAGGAAATTCAATGGAAGTTTGGTTTAAAATAACAACCAGGAAATTTAGTAGATAATCTTAACCTTTGAACTGGGCCTTGTGGCAGGTACCTGTAGTCCAAGCTACTCGGGAGGCTGAGACAAGGGGACAGATAGCCTAAGCCCAAGAGTCCGAGGTTACTGTGAGCTAGGATGTGACAGCATTCTACCCAGGGCACAGAGTGAGAGTCTGACTAAAAAAACCAAAAAAAACAAAAAAAAAGTAACCTTGAAAACCTTATTACAGAACATGAAAACCCTACAGAAGATAAGAGTGCCTAACATGCTAAATTCAGACAGACTTGAGGCTCATGACCACCCATTTGCCCTAATGGGAAGTTTTAGGACCCTCTCCTCAGACCTGTCTAAGTATTAAAGTGCTCTCCAGAATGGCCCACTGGACTTTCAGGTCCTTTACTCCCAGATAGCTACAACTTAACAAATCCTGTCTCCTATTCATAGAGGAACAAAGCATAGCTCTTCATAATTAAGGCAGCTGCCTGGACACCTGCACTTTTCCTATGGTGAATCTCCAAAAAATTAATTCTATAAATTCAAGGATGATGGTTGAAATGATCACGAATATATGTTCGTTCAGTTAAGGATCTTGAAAATGGTTACGATACCTAAATGCAACCACGTCTCATGATTAAACTCCTTGAGGCACATCTATACCACGATTCCTGGTGCTGCCCCTGCAAGGCCGAATGTACCTGAGGCCTTCAGGTAAAGGAGGAGGGTCAGTAGATTATTACAAATACAATGTTCTAAGTTTAAAAAATGCATGTTCATTAGGACTGTTTCTTTTTTTTTTTTTTTGCAGTTTTGGCCAGGGCCAGGCTTGAACCGGCTACCCCTGGTATATGGGGCCGGCGCCCTACTCCTTGAGACACAGGCACCTTCCTAAGACTGTTTCTTTTTCTACTCCGATTAGATTTTTTATCTGAGCCGTCATGCTCTTGCAGAAGCACCGCAGCAGTTCAAGATTTAAACATGTGCCTTCTACATTCCCAAAATAGATTTTTTTCACAAGAGAACAATCAATCAAAATGCCCTATGAGAAAAAAATAAATGTCCTCGAGATCTGCCCCAGGCTTTATGTCTGGATAATTTTACTTTAAAAGAATTCTCCTAGGACACAGGAACACAAATATACTACAGATATACCATTACATGATGTAACTGTGTCCTAACAGCAAACTAAAGTTCAGATAAATTAAAGAGTTTACTTGAAATAAGAATTTATTTATAATTTATCTATAATTTATAGATATAGATATAGATAATTTAAATTTATCTATAATTTATTTATAAAAATGTTCTAGGTTTTGCTTTTATCCAACTGTTTGAAAAACATGAAACTAAACAGAATCAAGTGTGAGTACATAAAAAATTTAAATGGTTGCTTGATAAAGGTAAGATAATTAGAAGATAAATATCAGTAAGATAACATTTTATGATAAGTATGATGAGGAATTAATATCTTAATTTCTTTTTTTTAAGAGACGGTCTTGCTCTGTCACGTTGGCTAGAATGAGTGACTTGATCATAGCTCACTATAACCTTAAATTCCTGAACTCAAGGGATCCTCCTGTCTCTGCCTCCCAAGTAGCAGGGAATACAGGCACATACCATCAGGCCTGCAGGTATTTTTATTTCTTGCAGAGACCTAGTCTTACAATGTTGCCCAGGCTGGTCTTGAACTCCTGGCCCAACCTCCCAAAGTGCTGGGATTACAGGTATAAACCACCTTGCCCAGCCGATATCTTTATTTTATAAAGAGCTCATACATATTTTAAAACAGTAATACTCTAGTCAACAAATGGGTAAAGGTCACTTGGCACATTTTCAAATAAGAAAGTGAGCCCCATAAACTGCTATTTCTCAATCCTGACTGCAGGTTAGAATCGTTTAGAATGTTTTTTGTTTTGTTTTGTTTTTAAATGTCCACATTTAGACACAACCCAAGAGATTCTGATTTAATCTATTTGGGGGTTAGATTTGGACATTGTTTTTTTCTCCCAAGTGACTCTATTATTCACAGTTAAGAACAATCTCAACTTGGAAAAGTGCAGCTCTGATGAAGTCCATAACATATTTGGCCTAATGAATTAGGACAAAGACATTTTAATTACAATAACTAAAGCTAGTAAAACCAAGATGAAATGAGCCTGAAATAATATATATTAGTATTAGTACTTTTAACAAAAAATGTATTTTATGTATTAAAAGACTAAAGATTATTTCTGTTTTATACCAGTAAACATTTCTGATTTGGGACCCAAAGATGAGTCAGACATGGACTGAATCCTCGAAGGAGTAATAGGGGGAAAGGCACTTTTTAACCAGTGACAATAAAGCAAAGAACTACAATACCATGTGATAGATGTTAGAAATAAAAACGGGGCTGAGTCTTAAAGGATAAAGCATATTTTAGGTAAAATAAAAAGACAAAACCTGCTCAGGATATGGGGACAAAATCAGCAAGACCCCAGTGGTGCCGGAGCAGGTGATGTGTTTAGGGAAATATAAGGAAAGCCAGCATAGCTATACCATGTACTACCTGGGAGGTGACAGCAATATAAGAGGAGGTGGCCAGGGGTCAGATTGAACCCTTAACATGTCATTATATAAAAAACCTTGCGCTTCAAGCTCTTCCTGTATTTTGCAATATTTTACTGCACAGTATTTTACTTGAAGGAATGATGTGATGAGTCATGACTTCGGGGGGGATAATTCAGAGGAAATTATCGAGGGCGTGCTAGAGTCAGAAAAGCTGGACTTAAGAAACCGGTTTGGGACATATTGTAACAACCTAGAAGGGAAAACCGTAAGTTTGAATTAAGGAAAGGATAGTGAAGTTAGGTCACTTTCCCAAGGTCATAAAATAACGACTGGTAACGCCGTATCTAACTTCAGGTCAGCCCCGTATCTTGCTTCAGTCCGACCCAGTGGTTTTCATCCTCACTCTGTGTAATATGAGGAACCACACAGGTGAGGAGCAGGAAGCAGTGGAGACTGATGTTGAAGTTGGTACCCGGAGAGAATGGTTAGCTTTTAAAGTACAGTCGTGCATCACATAACAACAGGACACGATCTGAGAACGGTGCCTTTAGCTGACTTTGTGGCTGTGCAAACATCATGCATGGTACTTACACAAGTCTGGATGGAATAGCTTCCTACACCCCTCAGCTATATGGTGTGGCCCACTGCCCCTAGGCTGCAAGCCTGTACCACTTGTTACTGAAACTGTAGGTGACTGTAACACAGTGGTAAGTATTCATGTATCTAAACACATCTAAACATAGGAAGAGTAGGGTAAAAATACGGTATTATAATCCGATAGGAAATCTATTGCATATGCCGTTGACCCAAATGTTGTTAGGGAGCTCATGACTACAGTTAATTAAGAGGGGGGAGAAAGTAAGAAACAGCTGAGAAGGAGGCAGACAGCAAGTTCAAGTTAGCACAGATCACGAGGCTGTAACATACACAGATAGAGACGCCTAATAGGTAGCAAGCCAGGAGACTAGAATCTACTCAGACACCAAAATCCCCAAATGAAAAGGACTACAGAAGGAATTAGCAAAGAACAGATTTCTGCTTAAACACCAGCATCCTTAAAATACAGCTGGAAAGAGTGCCATTTAAAAGGCAGTTGGTAGGAAAACTTCTGAAAGGGATATAGCTCTTACACGTTTAATATATAATCAGAAATCTAAAAGAGATAGCCAAGAAGTTTTTATGTTTCTATTTTCGTTGAGTCCTACTTCATCCAAACATATAAACGTTAACTAGGGGATAATATTCCGACGGGGGTGTTTCAAAGTGTCCATAATGTAACAACATACACTTGAATGGCAAGGGCTGAATGAGTTATTTAAATGCAACAGAGACTGTCTCCTTATAATACCTTAATTTTGTTGTATCTTGTATGCAAAAGTAATAGCTGCAGACGGATCTTTTCTTTTTTATTATCCTCCATAGGTTGACGTAACATTTCTTCTCCTCTTTGTAGAACTTCCTCTATCTGGGCTCTCTCTTCATCTATCTGAATGTTTTTAAAAAAACATTTTCAAGAGAAAAATGCACAGTGTCACTATCAGCTTCCAAGTAGAAGAATAAGCCAAAAAAATGGCAGTGTAACTCAAGATATGTTCATCTGAATGATCAAAAATTGAGGATTTTTTTCCAATATTTTATATTTCAAGTTGAAATATCTCAAAGCAAGTTTAACAGAAGTGAGATAATAATAAAAAGTATTACCTTTCGTCAGAACATGTGTCTATTTTTATTTAAGTATTACATCACTTGGCAAATCTTACATGGATATACACTGGAAACTCACATTTGGATCTGTTTCCTTGTTTCACAGATAATTATGGGTGTACATTATTGATATAAAAATATAATTAACAGAGAAGAAAAATGGAAACATTCATGGCTTTCAAACTCTCCTTGAACTCACCTTTTCATCTTCATCACTGGATTGCAAATGTTTTTCCACAACTTTTAACATATTTTCTACGTCACTTTCTAATTTTTCCAAGTCAGAGAAAGGCAGGCCAGCTTCAAATGTTTCAGTGGTGACCAAACTTTGGTATGATAATGGTTCTTGACTAATTAGCAACTGCAGAAGGAAAAGACCCCTCTGAAAATGTATTTCAACCATTAATCACAGAGAAGGGGCATCAAGAGGGGAACTGGCACTAATTTGAGCTAATTTCAGTTTCATTCACTCACACAGCAATGATTTTACCCATTTGGGCCTCTCTGAATGGCCCATCTTCTCCCAACTCTAGCCAGGTCTATGAGGTGGTGTGTAAGCAACGGTGACTACCTGGAGTGCTGTGTGGTGGACTCAGAGACCACCTATGAGCACAGCAGGAAATACAGCCACAATCAAGGAGCCTGCCATGGCCACAGAAAGGAAGAACAGCCACCGGCCCCCAGTGCAAGTCACCCACAGAATCTCTCTCCACTTATGTTTCCCCAGTAGAATAAATTCTCCTTGGATTTTGACACTCAAAACTTCAAAAATGTACCTATTTCCCAATGCCATATTTTCACTTAATGTCTATATAGAAAAACTTCCTATTTTTGTAACTAAAAATATGACGATTATAATAAAACTAAAGGCAGAAAAATAACACTGAGTGTTGGCTAAGTATGGAGAAATTAGCACTCTCACACCATGGTTCTCAAAGTATAAAGTGACACAAACTTTCCACTGGGCTACTTGGAAAGTCTAACAGCCTTTATATGTGAAATGTTTACAATAATTTCAAGAAATTCTAATAATGGAATTTAAAGGCCTATTAAGAGATGATCAAAAAAAAAGAGAGATGATCAAAAAGTTATGCATAAAGGGAGTTTTAACAAATAAAATATTTACAAAGCACAATAAAAGTAAAAAAAAACTTAGGAAATTGTAACAGATAATACTGGAATATTCCACAGACATTAAAAATCATGTCAAAGATATAAAAAATGCTAATATTTTATACATACAAATAATAACAGGCATGTATTTGAAAATGTTGGCTGAGGTTACTGCTGAGGACAATGGTAGTTTTGAGTCTTTGTAATTCCTCTCACCCTACCTCTACATTTTATGCATATTTTAATACCAAGAAAAATCTCCCATAGAAGTACTGAAGAGAATAAAATGAGCTGAGATCAGAAAGGCAGGGGAGAAGGTCAGAGCTAAGACAGACAAAAGCGAAAGCAAGCCTGTCGGTTGTTTTCTTTAAGCTGGAGAATTACTTAAGTATATTCATAGGGAATAAGAAGCATAATGTGGCATACCAGCTCAGATTTTTCATATCAAAGCAGTTTAAATAACATTTACTTCCTGCAAAAAAAGAGGATCCTTCCTCTTTGATAATTTCAACACACAACTCTCTAGAGACTGAATTGACTGAATACTCAAAAATGCCGTTCAATGGGCACAACTGAGATCCTTAAAAACTCAGAATCAGATGTTAGAATGACTACCTGGTTTGAACGACCCCAAAGTCAGCTATGGTTTTTTTTTTTTTTTTAATCTATAAAACCATCAAAGTGCTTTGATCTTTCCAACTTTGCACCTACAGAGCACTCGCTACATCCCAGGTCTTGGGAACACAACAGTAAGAATTTTCCTTTCCTACCCTCATAAAACAAGGGTAAAAAGAAAGCATGAGAAAAAGATACACACACAGAAAAACTATACCATTTTAAAGGAATACTCTTATTTATTATCCTCCTAATTAAACAAAGCTCCTTTTTAAATTTATAAAATCAGGTAGTACTCTTCTACATTATGTCTGAAATGTCAAATTATCTGTAACTTTTATATTTAACATGTAAAATACAAAAATCTGAACACATATAAAATTTGATTATTAAAATAATGGGGTTAGGCTCCACACCTGTGGCTCAAGCAGCTAAGGCGCCAGCCACATACACCTGAGCTGGTGGGTTCAAATACAGCCCAGGCCTGCCAAATGACAATGACAACCACAACCAAAAAACAAGTAGGCGTTGTGGTGGGCTGAGCATTGTGGTATCCCAGCTACTTGGGAGGCTGAGGCAAGAGAATCGCTTAAGCCCAGGAATTGGAGGTTGCTGTGAGCTGTGATGCTACAGCACTCTACCCAGGGCGAAAGCTTTAGGCTATGGTCTCAAAAAAAAATAAAAATAAATAAAAAATAAAATAATAATTATTTTGTAACTAATTCTGACCTGCTACTGAGTCTTTAAACCCTTTCATCAACTGTGTTATTTTCTTCAATACTAATTTCTTGTTTTTTTCTCCTTCATATGCATAATCACAAATAAATAAGGACAAATGCTCCTTTCAAAGAAAAAGTGATTAAAATCATCTTCATTTTAAAAGTTTTTGATGTATATATTATAGTATATCTATCACTTAGGTACATACTCATAGAAAAATGGTTTTCTATAAAAATATAAATTACTCACCTCAGCGCTTTTGATATGTTGAGACACTTTGTCAAAGTTCCTATTCAGTTCAGCTAATTTTGGTTCTACAAGCTCCCTGCTTGAGTTTCCACGTGCAGTCATCAAAATAATGGCTTGATCACGGACATTTTCAACCTGGAGGTTGGCATCATCCAGCTCGGAGAGTAAACGCTAATTGTAATAAAACACAAAATTATCTCATGGCAAATCCACTATGGGTGTGATGCTTACTCAGCATTAGAGATGGTTTAAACAAACAGCTGAGATTTCTAATAAGAGATTTCAGCACAATTAATCAGAGTAAGAGCTATTCCCACAGAACTCATTGGCAATCTCAGTTTCTCCTACCTAAATAAATGTGACTGAATCTACCTCTTGGGAAGAATGTAAGTGACTTAGAGCATTCCACAAGGAAAACATGACACAAAGCATTCCCCTCTCCAAAGGGTTAGTAATTCCTCTACGTTTGCTACCTTCACAATTTCTTCCCGTTTACTTGCTGGTTTTTTTTCGATTTCATCCAGGAGAGCTTCAGCTTGATAAAGCCAGGTACTTATGTGTGCCACACTTCCATCGAATATTTCCAACTGGTTCCGATGGTTCTACAAAGGAATTAATAAAATGCTCGCATAATCACATGAAATATTTAAAGCGATAATCATAGAAGAGATTTAAAAGACCTTCAAGGAGCAAATTGTATGCGGAATTTAAAGAAAGATTTCCACCTTTCTCTGCAGAGCTCTCTTCAGTGAATAAATCTCATTCCTAAAAATGCACAGCAGTGGGTAAGGACTCGTTAAATTTATTTGATTTAGTCCTCAGCACAATAAAAAGCTGATGTAGAATAAAAGGTGAAAGTTTCTTTTTCAAGTTTATCTCTTATTCCTCATTCTTATATAACAACTGATCTCAATTGCCCCCTTCAATCATATTTTTTGAAATTTGTTTAAGGAATAATAACATAAAAGAATGAAGAAAATATGGACTGAGGAGGATTCTGCATGCTCTGCTTAGAGGACAGAGCCTATATCTCTTCACCTCACTGTCACCAGCACTTAATATTACGCCTGGCACAGACTTCAGTAAGAATTCCTGAAGCAGGACGTAAAACGTGCTTGACAGAACAGATATGAAAACAGCAGCAGCCGCTATGCAGATTATGACTGAGCAAAGTGGCAGAGACTAAGGCAAAGAGTTAGAAGTTGACCCAAAAGGGTAGGGAAGTAATTAATACTTAGGATCTATATTTATAGGATAAAGGAACTAGGAAAAATTTAGAAAAGGGGAGTTTTTAAAAAGACACACCCTGGTGAGGGCAGTGGCTCACACCTGTAATCCTAGTACTTTGAGAGGCCAAAGTGGAAAGATCCCTTGAGCTCAGGAGTTCGAGACCAGAAGGAACAAGAACAAGACCCCATCTCTGCCAAACAGAACAAAATTAGCCAGTCAGCCTCCCAGCTACTCAGGAGGCTGAGGCAGGAGGATCACTTGTACCCTGGAGTTTAAGGTAGCAGGATCACTTGTACTCAGGATGGAGTGCCATGGCATCATCCTAGCTATGAGGATGAGGCAGGAGGATCACATGTACCCTGGATGGAGTGCCATGGCTTATAGCTAGGATGACGCCATGGCACTCTAGCCTGGGCAACAGAGACTCTGTCTCTAAATAAATAAATAAATAATACACATTATTAATCTATAATACGGACAAATAGTTGAAAAACCTGTGAACTGACAAATGATTAGTTTATTTCAATTTCAACAGTGCTCTGCACTCTAGGAAGTAGGAAGAACTGACACACACTAGACTTATTTACCCCACCAACCAGGTAAATCAAATGTTCTAATAGGATGAAGAAAGGTACTTCTTGAAAGGACAATTTGAAAGGTAGACTAAAGAACACAAAAGTCAGGGTCATAAGATACAGAATAAAGCCAGTAATTATAAAAAGGAATATATATACTATTTCATGAACTTATTCTATAAGCCAAGAAACTCATATTCACTTAGTAGGTTCAAAATTTAGCTCTGCTAGAAATATAATATATGTTTTTATTCCAATTTTTTATATATGGAAATTGAAGCCTAGTAATGTAGCTAAGGTTATACAGATAATCAGTCAGGGCAGTGGTTATCAATCTATGACAGATCCAGACCTAAGCCTATGATCTTCACTGCCCTACAAATCTCGATTGACTTGAACAAATGTTCAAATACATAATAATTTATTTTTTCTAATTATAGAATTACTAGGTAATTACCTATCTCTAGTATGTTTAAATAAAAAAAAATTATAAATGACTATTTCCTCTAGGGAAAGGGAGGGTGGAGCTGCCATATACTTTTCGTTACTATAAGGACAGAAAACCACTATAAAGATTAGATGGTCGATATTTTATGAGATAATTAACGGAGTGGCAATATAACCAAAGACTAATATACATATAGCATTTAATGATTATTACAATCATAATAATATCTAGAATTGGTTGTTTTATGTACAGGCATTTAAGAGAACTACATGTCTTCAGTCACAAAATCATCACAAAAACTGTAAGAGGCTGAAATTATGATAATGCCCATTTCACAGATGAGAAAATTGAGGCTTAGGAAGCCTTTAAATCACTTGACCAATGTCACCCAACTAGTGCTCAAAAATTTTACATAAGCCAACAGATGCCAGAAACTGTGCTCATAACTGGTATACCACCGTTAAGCACTATAAAGATAATATATAAAACTCACTCCTTATGGTATGAAAATGAAATATAATACGACATCATCAACATGAAACAAGTAAGGTACAATTAATAAAATGTTAAAGTACATATTTCTATGTACACCATGAATATTTCATTCTTTAATAGAAACACTGTAAATTCTTCCTAGGTATTGCCTTTTCAAAGAAAAAATAAAATGAAATCCTAATGAAATGAATTCAAAACATGACCATGACACAGAGAAAACAGAATTTGAAATTTAATCAATGCCATATTCAATTTAAAACAATGAGAGAAGATGATTTCATCATGAAGTTTTTCTGGAAACATACCATCAAGGTGCCGCACCAATCCTCAGTCCAGGTGCGGACGCGGCTCCACCCGGCGTTCAGGACGCAGAGCCTCTCCTCTAAGACAGGCTCACTGCCCTCAATCAAGTTCTTGAGGGCAGCACTACTCTCGGTGATGGAATTTAAATCAGCTTTTTTCTTTTCCAGATCCTTCAGAACATTCTAGAAAATAAAAACACCAAAACCCACATGATCTTATAGAACATGATAAAAGTTTATACAACCTTAAGTTTTTTTAACATTTCTTCCAAATATAAAGTATAGTCCAAGACGCCCTAGATAATTTACAATATAGCAAAGGTTTACAAAACTCCCAAACTTATTAACATAGTGAGAGCTCTTAAGTTCCTAATTAAAATGTTTGACCATGTGTGGTAGCTCCCACCTATAATTCTAGCATTCTTGGGAGGCTGAGGCAGGAGGAATGCTTGAGCTCAGGAACTCAAGACCAGCCTTTACACAAGGGTGAGGCCTCTGCCTCTACTGAAAAACATAGAAAAAATTAGCCAGGTGTTGTAGTGGGCACCTGTAGTCCCAGTTACTCAGGAGGCTGAGGCAAAAGGTTTACTCGAACCCAAGAGTTTGAGGTTGCTGTGAGCTAGACTAACACCTCAGCACTCTAGCCTGGGCAACAGAGTAAGACTCTGTCTCCAAACAAAAAAAAAAAAAAAATTGTTTAGTTAAGCTAACATCAATGAATGTAACAAACTCAGGTATAGGAAAATAATCTTTTCATTTATTTTAACTATAACTTCCATTTATTAAATAGAAACACAAACACCAATTATCTTCATGGCAATTCTAGATGTAAAAAGTCAATTTTATTTTCAGTGAATACAAGCTAGCACTGTAGAAAAATCCCAGAACTAAGAATTCTAAGAAATTTATAATAAATTTCGCTCCTAGATCCTCAGAGGAAATCAGTTGATATGGACTACATATACTTGCAAGGATTATATCCTGGAATTAGGAGACTTAACATATAATCTATTGCATAAACATTACAAAAACCATTTCATTTTAAATAAATCATATAAGAACTACAAGTCTAAGCTTTGGTCTTACAATGTCTTATGCAAAGATAATACTCCGGATGGCAGGATGACAATTTGATTCACACATTCATAAGTTTGACCAGGCAAAAAGAATAGTCACGAAATTAAAGAGAGAGTCCCAGGTTCCAAAATTAAAACTACAAAGTTCTTTCAATCAAAAAGCAACATGTGGGTATCTACCCTATTGCTACTATTGTTGTTGAATCTTTTTTTTTTAGCATTTACAAAAGCTACAGGAGGGGAGGGAAGGGGGGAGCCTGAGTGGAGGGAGGGTGATTGGTCGGACCACACTTATAGTCCATCTTACAAGGGTACATGGAATCTTTCTAAATATAGAATACAAATGTCTTTTTTTTTCTTTTTTTTTTTATTGAATGGTAACTATGTACATTAATGCACTTCTGGGGTACAGTATGGGGTTTTCACACACAATCCAAAACACTTCCATCAAAC